GTTAAACACTGTATTCAAAACCAAAAAGTTCTTTAAAATGCTAGGAACATCAAATTTAACTTTCTTACCTCTAGACTTCCTTCCTTCAATACTTTGACATGGGTAATTAATCACTTTAATGAAATTTAAATGAAATTTATGCCATGGCAATTTTAAAGCATTCCTGGGTAGTCCATATATGGTGATTCCATTGAACTGTTTCTTAGTGAGTTTCATGGCCTAAGTTTTTGAGGATGACTGACCAGGTCTATTCCTCAAGAGGGCACCAGATCTCATTATAGATGGTTGTCAGCCCTCACCTTAATACACAGAGGTGAAGCTTTCAAAACCATCATTTTCCTTTATGAATTATTGATGGTATTAATAAGCCATTATCTACAGAAAATATAATTAAATACATTTGATAACTATTTTAGAAACTTAATTCAATGTGAAGAATAATTATTTTAGTTAATGAGGAGGTTTGAACAGGAGTAGCTTCTATAGGCTAAAATATTTAGATGCCTTGCCATCTGTGAGAGGCGCTGCTCAAGAAGGAAAAGGAGATGGCTTCTTGGAATTAGGAGAGCCATTATCATCATAGTGTCTCTTCACAGCAACATTACATTATTAACAGAACATTAACTATTTCAGCAAATGTGGAATTTATATTACTCAGCTCAAATGACCAGTAAGATGAAAGTCTAAAGTAGAATAAGGAGGAAGAGGAAGAGTAAAAGAAGAAAGATGAAGAGGAAGAAGAGTGTACAAAGCAACCCAGTTACTTCAAAGGGTTTCTAATCTCCATTAAATTTACAATATGGAGGATGGAACCCAGACAGAAAATGATCTGAGGAATGTGAAAGGAACTGAGGAAGAGATGTGTGAATTAGTCACATGAATATGCATTAAAAGCTTACGTGGAACTTTCAGTTTAATTTAAGTGATAGAAGATGAAAATAATGATGATTCTTTGGAAGTTGTTTTCATAGCCAGGCTATCTATAAAGAAGTAATTTGTTATATGCCTGTCAAAGATGTCAGGCTCTACACAACAGAGCAATATGAATTTTATGTGAACATGTTTCTCAAAGAGAACATATGAGAAATGTAAAATATGACTTTATAAAATGTAGAGAAAATATGTGGTACCATTGGGATATTGTTAAATCAGGTTAAAAAATGATAGCTAAAGAAGAGACCTAAAGAATAAAAGTGCATGTAAGACCACAAAAAAATCTATCAGGGAGCTCTTACAGCTGATAAACACCCTTAGTCAAATGGCGTCATATAAGATTAACTCAAGAAAATCACAGTCCTTCTATATACGATAATAAACAGGTTGAAAAACCTCAGGGCATCAACACCAAAATGCCTCCTTATGATCAATTTCAGGACTTAATCTGTTTTTCTAGGATCATTCACTTGTTTAGGGTTGAAAAAAAAAAAGTAAGTTTCTGTCCCAGTGAAGAACACGAATAATCCCAGGGGCATCAGCATAGCCTTTAAAGTGAATGACAAGATGGCTTAATCATCTATATGCACTGCAACCAGAGCATTTCCTATTTGATGTAGCAGCTCATTTTTGTAGGTAAGCAAGGGTTTTTCTTTATGTCAAGTTTTTTTAAGTGTTAAAATAGATTTCAAGTTATAGGACAAGTCTGAACTTAAAATTGATATGGAAGCCCATATCAAACAGAGTTGTATTGCAAATTGAATCAATGACTTCTGAGAAAAGAAAGGGGAAAACACGAAGTATTACTCACATATTTTGCTATACTTTACAAGTTACATGTTTTTTATGAAAGAAAACAACTAGAATATAATATTAGCTTCCAATGAGATTATGTGTATAATTTTTTTTGATTTCTGATTCAGTTTTCTTTAATTTCAATTTCTGACATTGTTACTATTATTTTATACACATTTTAACTGGCCATATATTTAGATATAATTTCAAGTGTTTATTTTCAAATTGCATAGTTTGTTTAAATGTAATTTCTTTCATATAAGCCAAAGAGAGATGTTATCTTCTTTTATTTTTATGATTTGATATTTCTAGTTATAACAGTAGACAATGAAGACATAGCATGGTCATGAAGAAAGCATGCATTGTACTGGCAAAGAATTGAAATATTGAATTCTGCCTTGTCTAATTGATAATCATCTGACAAGACTATATTTTACACATAGTTGATCCTCAGTTTTCTTTTGTATAAGATGATATTAGACTATATATTTTCTTAAGTTGTTGTGTAGATCAAATAAGAGAAATAAACACATCATTTATAACCAATTACAGTAGCTCCAGATCTTGTAGATACTTTTTGCTATGATTTTCATCTTGGTTTTAGTATTTCCAATATTATTAACATGGATTTGATCATGAGAATTGAGAAATTTATTTTTAAATTTTATTTGTTTGAGGATATTGTAGTTAAAATGCCTTATACATATTTTTTTTCTTCTAAATTAAACTCTAAATTATTTGCAACTGTATAGTATAAAATTTCTACTGCCTTTAAGTATAGCTTAAGAGAAATACATTTTTAAACTTTAATCTTGGGAAAAACTAGCAAGCTTTGGCATTTTTCCTGTTATGTCTAAATTTCTGACTATTTCTCATTTAATGCTCCAATAAAATCTGATTGGAAATAAAAGTTACATCAATTCAGATACCATACACTTGTTTTTTCAGTCAATATCAAAACAATATTTACTAAAATATTTGGTCAAAATGTTACAATAACTTAAGGAAATACATATTATTTTACTGACATAATCCCAGTCCAAAAACCATGACAGATAGACGAATCTTCTTATACAGTAATTTAGAGAGTCATTGTATTTAATTTCAAAATAAGATATGCTATATATGTTTTTAATGCCTTGCTTCTATATTCCCTTAGCATTTTGTAATATGTTATATAAAGAAAATTTAGAATTTATATTTTATAGTTATGTATACTGCAAATTATTTATTCTGGAAAATATATTATGATGGGTCCAAAATTGTTTCTTCTACAATTGTCTGTGTTCATGTGGTAAAATCAGTCAAGTGAGATTATTAATTAGCATTTTTGAAATACACACTGTCTATCAGTGGAGCCTGTCTAAGAGACTCTAACATCAGGGATTAGACTCTGAATGCAATACTTAGTCCTTTAAAATTGCTTTATCTCAGACCGTAGAGGAGAAACAAATTTATAGAATTATTGAATAGGTGACATTCCTATAGTGCATAGCAATTAACCTGTATTTTGTTATGTTTATTCAGTAAACTATTAATAATTTTTGAATCTCACTTGTGTTATTAAGCATTTTCACTATATTTCTTTTAATGTGATGACTTCTTTTTTGCACCTTTCCTATTCAGTAAACATTATTGAAAAAATTTCTTTACCAATCTTGAGAAATTTTTAAAAAGGGAGAAAAGAGGACTATTTTAAGTGTATGTTTCTAAGTCCATAATTTGAAGACCTTGCATACTCATGCAGTTAATTGATCAGATAAATTTATGGGCTAGTTTATTAAAATATCTTTCTGAGACAATGTTTTGTATTAAAATATCTCCCTGAATTCCTATCTTAATATTTAAATTATCTGTGTTTATGCAAACTAAATCACATTGCTTTTTATATTTTACTATATAATCTTGTAAGTAATGAATAAATATTTCTTTGCTGTTTACTCACATATTTGCCAAATTAATATATATATGTATGTATATATATATATATATACACTAGAACAAAGCATTCACATAGACTTTGAATATATCTGAAACAATGTGCTTACATGATTCCATCTTGTTCTAAAGTTATAGAAATTCTATTTTTTCTCATACTGATATGAATGTTCAATTTAATTTGCAAGCCTTACCACACTTCATATTACATGCATATTGTAAATGTATATATTTACATGACTGAATCATTCCTGTCCCCTTGTGTACCTGTTTTTAATATTTTATAAACTCTTAGTCCACGACAGAAAAAAAAATCCTAAACCAAAACTACTGTGAAGAAATTACATGAATGTTTAATATGTTCAATGAGTTGTATTTTCTTGAGATTTTAAGTAGAGAGAAAAAAATTTTTTAAATGATTTTTTCTTTAAATTTAATTATGATATTTCACTTTAAAATTTACCTGTGATAAAAGTGTGGAATCTCAAGTTCAAAAATCTAAAATATTGACAAATAATATTTGATGTCCTTATAGCATAACAAGGACTACTACATGGGTGTGGTTTCCATTATAATAGTTTGAATTTACTCATTTTGTCATGAATCTTTGAAAATCAAATTATCTGCTCAAACAGGACCCGACTAATTGTAATATCAATGGTCACAAATGGAAGAGACAAAATTTTCTTGGAATCCCTCCTTGGGAGGAGAATTAGCCTCTCCCAGATAGGAGCCTCTCATAGGAGATCCAATGCAAAATGACCTTTTCTGAAAGTGTATATATACAAAAAACAAAAATGGTCTCAGAGGTCGTGTTTATATATTTCTGCATAAATATTTATATTTATAAGAACAATAATAAAGCAAAAATAGACTTTCAAGTTTAGAGTGTTGGTTGGAAAACATTGGAGAAATTCAGAGGTAGGATACCTGTGAGGGGCAGGAAGAATGGGTGAGAGTGTGATACAATTCTATTTCATGTCAAGATATTGAAATGCATACATACATACATACATATACACAGTATTATAAGAGAAAAATACATAAGAATGGAAATTTAAAAACGATAATTTGAACAGAGTGATATAAAATTATTTACATAAAAATACTTTAACTGCTACATTTTTAACTTTATAAATTTATTTGACAAGTAAGTATAATTATCATTTTCTTTTACTTCATATAGTGACATCTGTCTGCTTTCCTAAAGTTACTCATCATCGCTCACCTCATTATTACCAATGAGGTCACTATGCCTTAAGGACCAAACATAGACATAATGTGGAAACTCTTATATGGTACTTTTCATGTGAAATATATAACTCAAAATCAAAATGGAATGATTGGCATCACCCATGGATGTCCACAAGAATCCCTTGCAGAATGTGACAGAAGCTACCATGTTTATACTCTTGGGCTTCACAGATGACGTTGAACTGCAGGTCTTCCTATTTTTACTGTTTCTTGCTATCTATCTTTTCACTTTGATAGGAAACTTTGGACTGGTGGTTTTAGTCATTGGGGATTCTCGATTACACAATCCCATGTACTATTTCCTCTGTGTTTTGTCTTTCTTGGATGCCTGCTATTCTACAGTTGTTACCCCCAAAATGTTGGTCAACTTCCTGGAAGAAGATAAATCCATCTCATTCCTTGGCTGTGCAACACAGATGCTTCTCTTTGTTACGTTAGGGACCACAGAATGCTTTCTGTTGGCAGCAATGGCTTATGACCGCTATGCAGCCATCTACAACCCACTTCTGTATGCAGTGAACATGTCACCCAGAGTCTATGTGACACTCATTATAGCTTCCTATTCTGGCGGAGTTCTGCATGGTACTATACACACAGTGGCTACTTTCAGTCTGTCCTTCTGCAGATCTAATGAAATCAGGCACGTCTTCTGTGATATTCCACCATTGCTTGCTCTTTCTTGTTCCGACACACGCACCAATGAGCTTCTACTCTTATACTTGGTGGGCTTGATTGAGATCACTACCATCCTGATTGTTCTGATCTCCTATGGATTCATTCTCTTTGCCATTCTGAACATGCACTCTGCGGAGAGTAGAAGAAAAGTGTTCTCCACATGTGGCTCCCACCTCACTGGAGTGTCTATTTACCATGGTACAATCCTCTTTAGTTACATGAGACCAAGTTCCAGCTATGCGTCAAACCATGACATGGTAGTGTCAATATTTTACACCATTGTGATACCTATGCTGAATCCCATCATCTACAGTTTAAGGAATAAAGATGTAAAAGAGGCAATGAAGAAATTATGGAGAAAATTTGGTCTATAATTAATATACACATTTAAAAATATAATAGGGCCTATGTAATTCATACTGCCTTATTCATTTAAGAAAAATCCCTATATGCCCTGGGATGTCATGTGTTATTTAGTCTCCTAAGGCTCAAGTGGTTATGACAATTCCACAGACTTCAGCATGACTTACAACTGTTGACTTTTACCCAGCTTACCTGGGCTGTGGTAGTGTTTGTCTGATTCCTCCACTCTGCAGTCTCTCCTTTTCTCTCTTTCCAGGCTATGCTCATGGGCAGGATGAGGAAGTGGGAGTTTATGTTTCTCTTTCTGAGGACAGGGAAGATACAAGAATCCTTCTAAATGAGACATCTGCCCCTCTTTTCATTGATTTAGGCAGCATTTTATTTATACACGCATGGCTTCATAGTTATTGATTTTATATGTTGAGTTTTAATTTAATTTTGCTTAATATTTTATTCAAATTGTTCATGATTTGACACTTGGTACAGGTTTTAAAACAATACTTACTGTTGGTAAGTAGGCAAGCAGCAGAACCTGCTATAACTATTTTAAAAGAATAAGGTAGTGTGAATAACATATGCCCTTTGTTTTAATTTGTAAATAGTTTTAATTTGATAGCAACAAATATACTCACACTTGTAAGATATTAAGATAGAAAGGTATCTGGAGGACTCTCTACATAATTCTTTCATTAATTTCTGCAAATGTAAAGCTTCTGTGAATGTAAATTATATTGTAAAGGGCTATCTGGTGTCTCCAAGGTGTAAGCAAGGCTTAAATATGCAAGTAGAGTTTGGAAGACTTGACGGTAAACACACAAAGGATTCTTTTTTCTCTTCTCCTTTAGTTGTCTGATACTCTTGATAAATTCCCTTAGCATGTGAAAGAACTCTTTTCTTGTGTCAGACACAATAATGTTAAACTACACTGAAAAGTACATTGTCTTGGGAACTCACAAGGTCCTTATGAGGAGCAGAAAGAGCAAGGAAGTCAGGACCGCGAGGGGTGTGCCCACCCACTGTGATGGTGGGGATGATCTAATGGGAACTCACCAAAGCCAGCTGGACTGGGAGTGATGGAGCATGTGATCAAACCGGACTCTCTGAACGTGGCTGACAAGGAGGGTTGACTGAGAAGCCAAGGACAATGGCACTAGGTTTTGATTCTACTGCATGTACTGGCTTTGGGAGAACCTAGTCTGTTTGGATGCTCACCTTCCTAGAATTGGATGGGTGGGGGGGACCTTGGACGTCCCACTGGGTAGGGAACCCTGACTGCTCTTTGGACTGAAGAGGGATGAAGAGGGAAATGGGAGGAGGTGAAAATTTTTAATAATAATAATAATAATAATAATAATAATAATAATAATAATGATAATAACCTGAAAAAAAGAAAAGTACATTGTCATGGATGGATATGACTCAACACATAGCCTCAAGAAGAAAAGAAATAAATGCATCTCTGACTGGACTTAATGGGGGAATGAGTTATTAGGTTAGTCTTAAATAATGAATTGTTGCTTACTGAAAGATTCTGGGAGAAAGGGAGTTATTATCTTTATTTGTTTACTATAGGTGGGACTATCAATTGTACCAAAGTACAATCATAAAGAGTACTTTGTTTAATCTCAATTTTTCCTGACACCAAACAGTAACTCATGGTTTCGTCACATGGTAAAAGGCAGAAAATCCTGAATGTGAATTACAAACATGTCAAAAATTTCCATCTAAGACTCTTATATTTCTTTTACAAACAACCGAACAGTCAAAACTCACAATAAACCACAGATAGTAGTAGACACTATACTCAAATTAAGCTATTTCAATCTTTCTAAAACCTGTACACTTTTCACATGAAAATTAAATGTAATTCATTCAAATTAGCTCAAATGATCCCTGACTTCCAACATCAACTCAAAATCATATTTAAATCATAAAAATGATATACAGCACACACATTTCTCCTAAAATGATGTTTTCTCCAACAGTATCCCAATGAAATAAAACATGCTAAATGCATCCAAAATAAAGTGGTAAGTAAGGGTAATGCCATAGGAAAAATGAGCACGAAGAAATGTGTAAGAAGTATCAACTTAATTAGGCTGAAAAATAAGATTTGACTGTGTCTCCTAGGTCCTACTAAGATTGATTATTGCACCATCCCACCTTCTGGCCATCCTTCCTTCATGCTTAGCAGAGAAAAACATGTACATTAGTGCCTATGCCTTGATGGCTTTTGCAGTCCCAGGCATATGGTATCATACTGATAAGTCAATCATCGTCCGATCTTAGGAGTTTTTGCATTTCTGAGTACCTACTAAGCATTATCAAGGTGGAGGATGTCCATTAGCTCTAGCCCTATGACTAACTGCTCATTTTATCCACCATTTTAGTTGCTAAAAAGAGAATGATTTGTCCATGGGCTTTTCACTCCCTGAGAATAGCTATAATGTTGGAGGTGTTCATATCATCTAAGACTGTATTTATAATAGGATAGAAATTCCTTTATCATATTAGATTGTATTAGGGAACAAATGTTCCTTAGTGTCATTTGTTCAGACTGGGAGACAGAAAGCAGTGTTCCATGATTGTGAACCATGGCTTTTTTAGAGCAATTAATATAACTGTGACTTTAAATTCCTATCAAGCATATATTGTATATAAAGATTTCATTTGGTAATGGAATGCTGTTTTGCACACTAAAATTTGTGGGTTTCTGGATTAGAAAACACCTTTATTTTATCATGGGAAGTTCAAGAATATGGCAACTTCGTACTTTATAGTGAAATGCCCAAGATCTACTGTACACTTGTAACAAATCATAAGCTAATTCTCAAAACACACTCTACACATGACAAGATGCCATTGCTACAAGAACTGCACATTCCAAATCTTTAGGGGACTGAAAAAGGCTCCTAACAACAGAACTTGGTGACACTCCAAACAATTTGAGGCATCATATCATATGTCTTGAACCTCACCTGACCTTGTTTGCCATCTTAAATTACTACTGACGAGTTTCTTCTTTTTTCCTCAGTTTATCTTTTCACTATTTCTATATCTAAAATTGAAGTCATCATTTTAAGATATATAATAATAACATACATTTTGGGGAAATATATATATACATATACACTCATGGCATATTGTTCTATGTATTATTCATTTTATAATCAAAACTTTCCATTATTTCATTACTTTTTAGATTCTTGATTTTTATATCATTCAGAAGTTACCTTTTTTACTTGCATCCATTTTATTTTGATCAAATCATACTATCAATATCTCCCCACCCACCAGTTCCTTCCTAACCTCCCAGTATCACCCTTTTTTCCCAATGTCATGTACTTATATTTAGAGCACCCTGATATCATCCAGTACTGCCTGTATTCACATGTGTGTAGGACCATCCACTGGATCATGAAAAGCCTCTCAAGGGAAGTATACCTAAAGACATCTGACTCTTCGCCTGCCAAAAGCCACTGACTTTTAATCTCCATCATTCTGAGGTACCGGTGGGACTTAATGTGTTCTTCCGGCATTCATCCTGGTCTTTTGTCTCCTTTTCTTTGTGCAGGCATCACAACCTCTTACAGGCATCCTTTCTGGATCTTACACGTTTTCTGACCTCTTCCTTCATATTGGTCCCATGATAAAAACGGTTGTGATACAGATATTCCATTTAAAGTCAAGACTTCTAATATGTCTTATTTTCTACTCAATTGTAGTGGTTTTCAGTTGTATTTTAATAAATAAAGACTGCCAGAAGATCTGAGACTAAAACAGTCCCACTGGTCAGCCTTACAGACCAGATTATGGTAACATATAGCTTTAATCTCAGTAGCCACAATGACACACACCTTTAATCCTAGTAGCCACACTTGCTGCCATAGAAACTGGAGGGTACATACCTTTAATGATGGTGGTGCAGGTCCTTAATCCCAGCCATGGAGAGGATTATAAAATGGGAGGAAATGGTTCTCAGATACACAGTCTCATTCTGAGATTCTGGGAAGCAGAATTCTGGGATCTGGAAGCTTTCAATTTATGATATCCCTCTCTTTTTTGTTGTCTTTTAATTTTTAATTGAAATAGAATTAAATAGCTTTCTCTCCTTCCAGGCACCCACCCAGACTTCCTACCCCCAACTGCTTGCATGTCTTTCTATCACAGTGACACCCCTTTTTTAGTTATTGTATATACATATATATTATGCAATAATATATACAATAATAAAATAATATACAATATCTATTTCTGCATATATATTCACAAAACAATAAATACAGTCTTCTTAGTCTGCCCTATTTCAGGTGTTCACATATTCTTGAAGATAGTTAGATCATGGACATCAAAACAGAAGCTGTCATTATGGTATTTGGTCCCTACATGTTCTTTGCCATATCTGTTGTATGGCAAATGTGAATGAGAATACTGTCGTTTTTAAGGTTAAATAAGGAAAAGAGAGTTCCACCAATACAGAAATTTGTAAAGGCACTATCTAACAAAATACTCTCTAAAGTCAACATTTTTCGAAGAAAAAATGTACTCAAGTGTGCATCCTGTTCTCTGTACTGCCACTGTACTCATCAAGTGCAATGTCTTGAGCTGGTCAACCATCTTAGAATGTAAAATTGGCTTAGGCCCCTCAAAGTGAAACACAAGACCCGTTTTCATCAGCAATAAAAATCTGGTGAGAGGAGTCCTGGGTGTGATTGCTAGACTTGTCTCCTTAAACTTATGGAGAAGTAAAATTTTGTCTTTGGGGGAATTTAGACACATTTCTAGACAGTCTATAAATCTAGATCTTGTGGTGGGAAACTTTTCTCATTCATTCTCAACATCTGGAAACTTATCCAGGTCAAAAACTGTCCTGTTTTCTTGGGGATGGTCCAGAGATTCCTAGAGAACTTGGAAAAGAGAATGCTCTAAAGACTGCTCTCTGAATCAATTTATCTGCCCTCCCCCTTTTCACCCCTCTCTTTGTGAACATCTATTTTTTCTAAGGTTGCTG